TGTGCGTGAGAGTGTGCGTGAGAGTGTGCGTGAGAGTGTGCGTGAGAGTGTGCGTGAGAGTGTGCGTGTGAGTGCGTGAGAGTGTGCGTGTGAGTGCGTGAGAGTGTGCGTGTGAGTGCATGTGCGTGAGTGTGAGTGCTTGTGCGTGAGTGTGAGTGCTTGTGCGTATGCGTGAGAATGAGTGTGAGTGCGTGATATTGTGAGAGTGTGAGAGTGTGAGTGCGTGAGAGTGTGAGTGCGTGTGCGTGAGATTGTGAGTGCGTGAGAGTGTGAGTGCGTGTGCGCGAGAGTGTGAGAGTGTGAGTGTGTGTGCACGAGAGTGTGAGTGCGTGAGAGTGCGTCTGTGTGTACGCGCGTGTGTATGTGAGTGTGGGCACGCGCGCACGGGTTCGGGTGTGCGGGCGGAGCTCCAAGCGCGGGTCACCATGCGAAAACGAAGTGAGCGGAAGAGCTGCCCGAGAGAGGGGGACGCCCGCCCTCAAAGAAATGTGCAGCCGTTTTTCATACTCAGAGGATGCTTCGCGCTCAGGTAACTTCAGGTTGCGCCACTTGAAACGACTTCTTCTTTAATATACTGCACATTAAAGTGTTGTAGTTGCGTACGTGGAGGGATGTTTTAACACGTAAACCACAGAAAATAATGCTTCCTTTACGTCAATGATAAAGTAAATATTCTAATAAATAGCGTAAAGTGGACGTAATAGGAGGAAACAACACAGACCGTTTGCGTAAAATACCTTAGTGTATGTCTTGATGAAAAAATTACATGGAAGACAAATCTCAAAAAGGAAAGAAGATCCTTCAAAATCAAAATGAATTAATACATTTGGCTTCTAGACACAGTGTCATCTCTCTCATTAAGTAACAAACCGATTTAAAAATCAATATTAAAACCCATCTGGATCTACGGATTACAGATGTAGATTTCATTCTCTGGATCTCTTAAAAAGTTTCGATCATTAAATCCAACATACATGATCATACCCGAAAATTATAATATTTGTCTTGTGATGACATATTACTAGTGTATACTATTTTGTTTCCTATAGAAAATGAATCCATCCAATGACTGTGAATGCCATGTTTTTGCACATGTTATTGTAAAACGTTGCCAAAAATTGCCTATTGTTCGGATAGTTAATAATAATAATAATAATAATATTATTATTATTATTATTATTATTATTATTATTATTATCCAACTAAGACCCCATTAAGGGCAAGGGCCTTCTGCCTTTTGCAGGGAATGCTAAATGAAGTAATAGGGTGATGATGGTTTAAAGGACTTGGATGACTGTGGGAGGTGACAGGTGGGGTGGTGGAAGGTAATTGTGGCAATTTTGAACCATCCCAGTAGTCACCTTACGATCATGGGAAACCATGAAAAACCCGATTAGGATGGCCGGCATGGGGATTGAACACGGGCCTCCCGGCTGTGAAGTCAGCGCGCTACGCACCGAGCCATTTCGCTCGGTATTGTTCAGCAAATAAAAAATTTAAAAAAATAAACTTTCGATATTCGGAATCGGGTATTGCCCGGCCGTCATTTTTCCACTACGTCAGCATCCTGCGCCGCGCCTTCCCGGAAGTGAATCTCCGGGGCCGCGCCTTCGAGCCCCGGGGCGCGTAGGAGGAAAGGTGTCAGCCCCAGCCGCCTTTCTCCGTAACAGCGCTGGCTCCGCAGTCAGCGTTTAGCACTCCGAGAAGCCAGCTCCAAAGCATAAAAACTATTTAACTTGTTCGTTTATCCCTCGCGGATAAGTAATGACCGTCCGTTAAGCAATAAAGTGAAAATCTAGTAGAAGATAAGGATGTTGAAGGAAAGAAGGGCGTTTATTATGCAAACAATAATAATTTTATCGAAGTGTTACAAATCATAGCATAACATTTTGACATACTTTAGTGAATCTCTCTTTTGTGTTTACAATACTTTTTTATATATTCTATAATTTCTTTGAAGTGGAAAGTTTTCAAAGTGGTCTTCATCTTAGACGTTTTTCATGTCTTTTTTTTATTTTACTTTGACAACATAATCAGCAGTTGTGTGTTAGCCAAATTAAGGTTACCAGATGTCTCTGCGTCCAACAACAGTCTCCTTACTTTCAGTGTTCAGTTATAAAGTCCGTCCCAGAATTTCCGTAAAACAAATTAAGAATGTGTGATGTACAATTGTAGAATTACTAGACAGTTTTTAATATTACTCCCATGTAATAAGTTTACCAGAGTTTTTGCAGTGAATACGAGAACACTTTTTAAATTCTGTTGGGATGATACAATAGTTTAATATAATATCGTTATTTCCAAAATAATACACTTAAGCAACATACATGAAAATAACGAGATACCTTTGTTCTTCTCAAGTTAAATAGAGTCAGACTTAATAAGATTCACTGAACAAAAAAATCCTCTGTTTATCTTAAGATAAGTAGTGTGTAAGCTAGAACAGTACATTGTACAGCGCATTTGCATCGCGTTCCGCGCGTCAAATGTTTTGAGCGAGTTGTGGCGCGCAGGCGGTGGAGGACCTGGCCAAGATGCCCATGGTGAACAGCATGCTCAACGTGGACACCTTCTTCATGATGAGCGGCATGCTGCGCAGCTACAACGTGGTGGGCGCGCTGGCCGACGGACGCTTCAGCTACACCTCGTCGCTGCTGCAGCGCTACCTCAGGTGAGACCCTTTCCGCGCGTTAAATAGAACCATGATGCGGGAGATTCCCCAAGGACTTTATCGTAGGTAATACCACGAGTGCTTTGGAAACTGGCGATAAATCCCCGACTTGTGGAGCGAAGGCGGGATTTATCAGAGGCTTTTCCAAAGCACGAGTGGTATTTAATAGACTAATCCACGAGTGAAATTATGTCCAACAGAGTTCCAAATCGGCTAAATATCGAAAATAACTGAAAGCTGTGTTAAAATCACATGCGACACAGTGATCTATTAAGTATACCGCGTCCTACGATAGATGAGTCGCAGTTAATGATTTGCCAGTAGGGAAAAGAGGTAAGATATCTGATAGAAAAAACAATAAACTTTTTGAGATACCCCGCCCTGATCGGGGCATTTTGTATGTATAATAAACACTATTGGTTTTAATTTCACGAGTGGAATAGTCAGTAGCAAACCTCCCAATCCAAAGGACCTCTTCCGTCCAACCATACCGCATCCGCTTTCATCTACCACAATCCCCTCTAATCTACGTCATACACAGCCTGACACACATCATTCTAAAACTGAAATTATTTTACAATTGAGGGTACCACATTCTTCTGAGGTTGTACCAATAACTAATGTTTCATGTACGTAAACTTAAAATCCCCCGAAAATCTCAAGCCAAACGAGTAGTCAATAAAAAAATAACTTTCTCAATGAAGTCCATTAAACCAGTTAAATGCTTGGCGAAAAAAATAAAAGCAGCTAAAATGTGAGCTAAAAAGTAGAATACTAAAAATTATGATGACAACATTTTTTCTAAATATGAGTACAAGACATTAATAATTAATTGGCTAATTATTTTGTGAAACTATAATTCAATTGAATATTCTAGTTAAATTGTAATTTAATCAAAATTTTGCTAACAGTTTACTTCCTAATACTTAATAAAGTTGAGTTATTGTAATAAAGCAAGCAACCATGCTGCACAAATGCGAACTTGCGTAGCTCTTTCTCCTTTTGAAAATAGGAGGCTGTAACTGTAAATGGGATTGTAACGGAATGATCAATAAATAAATACTTCCTCTCTCTGAGGTATAATAATCTGAATCGTTAGCGCAGATTCAGAAGGGCCATTTTCAAAGGCGCATACACGTTTGAGAGAGGCAAGCGGGTCATCAGCCCTCTCCCCTGCTCAGTAGTCGATGACACGCCTATCAACAAAGGTTTTAATAATTATCTGTAGCAATCGAAGTCATTAAATACCTCAATTAAATGCTGTTAAAAATACCAAAAATATAATAAATAAAAATAAATTTTAAACTGAGCATAATTTCTTTTACAAAACATGAAGCCGGGGGGCATACCTTTATAGCCTCCCTTCTCCTCCCTTCCTTCCTTGGTTGCGCCATTGACAATTTTAAATAAGATCGTAATATATTTTTCTTAATCATTTTAAACTGAAGTTATTGAACATACA